AATCATGATAATGTTTCTCCAAATATTTATATATATAATTGATATGGATGAGATAAAGGTACCTATAGATAGAGAGATTGAAATAGGACCAAACAATTTTATTTTCAACTTCACGCAATTATCTTCGTAAGCCCAGAGCTATAGGATTATGAAGATGAAATGAAGATAAATGTTATATATACAGAGAGATCGATGGGGAAAGGAAAATGATAAAATCATTTTATTCTTTACGGTCATGGAGGTCTTCAAGGGTGCGACCACAGTCTAGTTGCGGAGCTACCACAAGATGTACCTCGTGGTGGATGAACAACGAGGCTGTCGATAAATTGAATTTACATAATGTTTGCCGATATTATTATTTGATTGAGTCATGTGCATAAAACAAGTTATAGATATGAATCTTGGATATATGATTGATTTGACTTTATTATATTCCTGTTGTTATTATGATTTCATGCTAGTAAAAGATATTAAGTATCAAAATATTATTATTTTCGATCGAAGCCCAACTTATATAATTTTTGTAGATGTTATTATTATTTGATCGAGTGATGTGCATAAAACAAGCTATATATTTGAATCTTGGATATATGACATATTTGACTTTGTTACATTGTTGTTGTTGTTATTATTTTATGCTGTTAGAATATATTTAGCATCAAAATATTATTATTTTCGATCGAAGCCCAATTTGATGTTATTATTATTTGATTGGGTGAGGTATATAAAACAAGTTATATATATGAATTTTGAATACATGACTGATTTGATTTTGTTACATTGATGCTGTTATTATTATTTTATGCTGTTAAAACATATTTAGCATCAAAATATGATTATTTTCGACTGAAACCAAATTTACTCATTGTTTGTTGATGTTATTATTATTTGATTGGTTGAGGTGCATAAAACAAGCTGTAGATATGAGTCTTGGATATATGACTTATTTAATTTTATTACATTGATTTTGTTATTATTATTTTATATTGTTAAAAGATATTTAGCATCAAAATATTATTATTTTTGACTGAAGCCCAATTTATATAATGTTTACATATGTTATTATTATTTGATTGGGTGATATGCATAAAACCAGCTATAGATATAAATCTTGGATATATGATTGATTTGACTTTGTTACATGCCATTGCTATTATTATTTCATACTGTTAAAAGATATTGAGTATCCAAATATTATTATTTTAGACCGAAGCCCAATTTATATAAAACAAGCTACAGATTTGAATCTTGGATATATGATTGATTTGACTTTGTTACATTATTGTTGTTATTATTATTTCATGCTTTTAAAAGATATTTAGCATTGAAATATTATTCTTTTCGACCAAAGCCCAATTTACATAATGTTTGCATATGTTATTATTATTTTATTGGGTGATGTGCATAAAACAAGCCATATATATGAATCATATAATATTGGGTGATGTGCATAAAACAAGCCATATATATGAATCTTAGATATATGGCTAATTTGACTTTATTACACTACTGTTATCATTATTATTTCATGCTGTAAAAAATTATTTAGCATCAAAATATTATTATTTTCGATCGAAGCCTAATTTACATATTGTTTGCTGATGTTATTATTATTTGATTGGGTGAGGTGTGTAAGACAAGCTAAAAATATGAATCTTGGATATATGACTAATTTGATTTTATTATATTAATGTTATTATTATTTCATGCTATTAAAAGATATTTCACATCAAAATATTATTATTTTCAATCGAAGCTCAATTTACATAATGTTTACCGATGTTATTATTATTTGATTGGGTAATGTGAATAATACAAGCTATAGATTTGAATCTTGGGTATATGATTGATTTAACTTTGTTACATTATTGCAGTTATTATTATTTCATGTTGTTAAAAGATATATAGCATCAAAATATTATTATTTTTTATTGAAGCTCAATTTACATAATGTTGACATATGTTTTAATTATTTGAAATGATGATGTGCATAAAACAAACTATAGATATGAATCATGGATACATGACTGATTTGAATCATGGATATATGACTGTTGCTATTAATATTTCATGCTATTAAAAGATATTTAGTATCAAAATATTATTATTTTCGACCAAAGATGCTACACTCGAGGGCAAAATATAAAACATTTAAGCCAACAACAAAACAATCGATCATATCATTAAACATGTTCCTAGTGCAAATACAAGTATAATGAAATTATCATGCAGCCCATCAAAAAATAATGACATCAAATGGTCCACAGCGATTGTTGCTGCCATTTACCTTAGTTACAGAACATAACAGGAACATTCAATCAAAGTGTGATTCTCATTCTATTGATTAAAAACCTGCACTTGAAATATTTTACAACAAAGCGCAGTATATCAGCTTATATAAACATGCAATGGAGAACCATATAACTTTACAAAGGATTTTAAAAAAAAATTATTCTAGATAAAGAAATCAACAGAAAACTATCAATTAGTTGATCTAAAAATTTTAAGAGTTATATTGAAAATAAAAAAATCTTTGTGTCTTGTATGGACTCTTTTGTATTAAGTATACTCCTGTATTCTCAAGCATTCAATTTGCTAACTTCTTGCCGAGTGGTTGTTAATTGGATGTGACCAATATCCCTTTTTGTAGATGTCATTTGGCATCGTGAAGATGTAGAGAGAGAGAGAGAGAGAGAGCAAGCAGGGGTGCTTAACCAACATATTTTGTAGATGCCCAAAGGAGATCGAGGTATCACATGATCTCTTCACTAAGGATAGCAAGGGAGATCAGGGCACTCGACCTCCCCACCTCATGTAGCGAGGGATTATGGTCCCCAACTCGAGAGCAAAGGGTGTCAAAACAAGATATTCACACATTGAGCATGTGGGGATTATAGGTTCCCAATGTATAAAATCAATATGTCATATATCCCCCAAATCCGAGCATTGGGTTAGGGTCTCCAACCTGAGCACCTCGAGTATAAAATCAATATGTCAGATGTCAAGACTCCTGTCAATGAGCTCTCGAAGCATGCCTTCGGTAAAGATAAATCATAGGGAAGATATCAACGATCAATCACCATCCAACATGTGATTTCTATGTAGCTTATAGACTAGAATGAGACAAAAGTTAACCTCCACTAGTCTACTCACGTGGATATAGGTCCAAAGCAAACAGTTGTATGTTATCTCTACTCTTATCGCCTACGTAGATAAAAGGTCGATTTGAGGTTATTAAAGATTGTTAAAGGTCGTCTCCTTATAAAATATTTTATAGAATATCTTATCCATTTACTATCAGGTATAAAATCTCATTTTTAATAGGGTTACATGGATCATTTTTTATCACTCATTATCATACTCACCTGCATCGAGTTACTAACTAACGTATTCAAGGGATCAGGTTAGAAAACTCCTCTCAACCTCAGTCGTTCATGCAGGTGGCACTTCAAAATCTTGACATTTTTATCTCGGAGACACCTTAACTATATCTTGGACATCCTTATGCATGCAAGTCAAAATCATGTTGGGTTGACTAGATCATGACCGGTTGATATATTATATCAGTGATGTAGCCTCTTAAGTCGAAATATGAGAATATTAGATCAAACAAAACTATTAATGTCATATTATAATTATTACTAAATTGAAATAAAAAAAACTTATTGCCATTATCATAGAGATATAGATTATGCTAAAAATTATTTACAAATATAAATATTCATGAAATATTATTCCAATGTATTAAAACAAAACCATTCAAGATATAAGAAACAAACAAAAATAAATAGAAAAATAAGTTATTGAGATTCATGAAATATATAAAAAAAGTTATAATTCATCGTTTATAGTACGACGACAGTAAATTTTAGTTATCATCTAAGCTAAAGCACATGTGTAAAATGCTAGTGCACATCCTTTCAAATTTCTTATATGGTATTGGCCTAAAAGAGGTATTCTTTAAATCGTATATTAAAGGTCTATAATATATATCTGATTTTAAAAGGCATAACTATCACGATATAGATTGTTTTGTTTTTAATTTTCAAGGGATAAAAAAATATCCTTTCAAAAAAAATTAATTCTCATGTTGTTGTTGTCATCGCGTTCGTTCCATCGTGCTAATGTGCACGGGTCTGCATCGATTGTCTATAGCCTACACACCACCCATGGTGGCATGATTATTCTCAGGCAGCTGATCGACGATCTCGATCTCATCATCATCGTACCCACGTGTGATTATGCGTCACAGCACCCACGCACTATGGTGATGGTTTTCTTAATATCCATCGTGGTGAATGATGATGATTGACATTCTCATATAAAAGAGAAATTCCAGTGACAACGAGGGAATGTCGCGATGGCGACGACGATGTTGGTGCCTGCAAAGAAGTAGACCGTAGTCAACACTTCAAACGGTGACGAACTCGGGTCTTTAGCGGGCTGTACGAGACCATCAGAAGCTTCACCTGCATCAGTGACCATCGGACAATGGCGGCGAGGGAGAATAGGAGGCAATCCTGTCGTTTGCACGGCGGCGAAGGTGCGGCCATTGGAGTGCAGGCGACTTTGCCGAGACAGGGACCCAATAAACGTCGGCCTATCTATTCAATCGTGCGACGCTTACATAAACACACCCCTCTTTTATACAAACACGCACCTTCTGTGCAGTTATAAAAAAAAAAGGGGGGGGGCGAGTGCGTATGAAAAGAAGAAAAGGAGTGCCTCGTTATCAAAATAGAACGTTGACCAATGAAAAAGAAATAGAGTGCACCAAGTTAATTGAGGAAGATGGTGGGTGGCGTGCAAACGATGTCCAAGCTGTGGAGAGAAGGCTATCAGCCATGTGGTTGTTTCAATTGATCGACATGATTATTAACACATGGACATTATTATTAATCTACTAGAGGTCCAACATAAAAATGGAAATAAAATATAATTGGTTAATTCTATTTCAATGACACAAATAGTTAATTTCTAGGGCACAAGCTAAGGGAGAATTATAAGACACATGATCACACCAATAAACATATTTAACAGGGATTTAATGGATACAAGTGAAAGCTCATATGAATTGCCAAGATCCCGAAACCATATAAACCTCAGCTAAAACCAAGTAGAAAGAACATCCAACAGGCATTGGCTGCCTTATAGTCAAACATCTAACAATCTCAAAAAAGCTACGCACACTACTAGAAAGAACATCACATAATATATCTAGTTCTTTAGAAGTTCTATACATACGAAATCCTCGGAAAAGAAGCACAGAGCGATACATCGAGATGATCAAAACATGACACAGGCTCCATCTGCACAAGGCTGCGAGAACAGAGAAAATAAATATATAAAAAATCCCACTAATTATTAGCACGAAAAACACCTAGTGGTAAAATAGTGGTACCTTTTGACTATTTTTAGGTTTGGATATTTGGAGGGTCTATTCCCCTCAGGTTCGTTTAACCGAATGTTGCGATAAGGAACGCCTTGTAGATACTCATGAACTTTGCAACAAATGCTGGTGAAAATAGCATATTGTAGCATAAAAACAAGCAATGATCACTTCTAATAGGGTATCTCAAAGTAAAGAACGTAACTGCAACCTTGCCATGATTTTACACGATCAAAACAAGTTACACATTAGATATATTTAGCAACCAACATTTAAAAATCATGGTGTTGTGGTTTGTTCAATGGCAGATTGCAGATTTACAAGAAAAGATCATCTCATTCATCAATACACTACTCGCAGCAAAGCTACATTAAGTCAACTAAAGGGGTAGATAAAATGTCTGTCAATTGGAACACCATGGACAAGACACTTGAAAGCAATAGAGTAACTGATTTGGTGTTGAGTGGTAGTTCCTGGGTTGAACAACTTCAAGAACCATGAATCGATGCTACTCAAACGTCTGAATTCACATATTGTTAAAGATGGCAAAGACTATTCACAAATAATAGATCTATAACAGCACTGCACAGCTTAGAAATGTCATTCCTACACTACTTAGCCTTTGGTCATCAAAAGAATCGTATCCTTCACCTTTTCATGCCATATGTTTTCTTAAACATTACATACATGCCTACTTAACCTTTGATATATCCCTCACCTTTACAAGACATAATTTTTTTAAGAACACATACAATTCTAGTTGTTTGATGTAACATCTTTTGAGGTCGTTCCATTTCTTGACCTAAAATAATGCTAAAAAGGAGCCAACTTGGGCTAACTAAAAGTTGGCTCTACAAACCCTGCATGACTAATAAGCATAACTGTTAGATGAATGAGCAACATCTCTTTATATGTTTGCAAAATAACTAAGAGAAGAACAAATTCCAACTTCAGAAAGCTGTTTCCATGGTTATGTTAAGCAACGGTGAATCTTCCATGTGATACGAGTTTTTGTTTTCATGTTTTATTGTTTTTCTCTGCTGGGTCAAAGGAAAGAAAAGGATAGAGGGGAGCAAATATCACCTGGAATTCACAAATACATGCCTCTTGTGGAAAGAGGACTTGTGGACTTATGTTCAGTAAAATGTGATGGCGTGATTGAGGATGATTATTATGGTTCAGAGTATTGATTCAAGTATTTTGTTGAGCTGGCATGCTACCATGCAGCATGATCTTCCTAAATTTGGTTTGACTATCTTGGTATCATGCACAACCTCCTTCAAGCAGCTCTCCAGACCACCAAATTCCGAATTCTCCATATAACGATAATAATGTAGCTTATTGAACACAGAAAAAAATCTTAAAATACATGAGTTTGTTCCTAATTTTAATCTTAGATGCAAAATAGCAATAAGAAACAAATGCACTGTTGAAATGCATGAAGTCGGTGTATGTTCTAAGTAACAGAATCCAATGATTACTTTTCCTATTAAAAAAAAGGATCAGTAGATCTTTTTGAATAATTTTATGACATGCATTTGTTAGATTTAATATGTAACTGGATTTTACAAAACAAACCAGTTATTGCAAAAGAATATTGTATCCTCAATTGTAGGATGCATAGCAGCAATGCACCAAAAGAGGAACAGCTGCTTAGCACCCATGTGTCTCCAGAAGAAAGCATAAAAAAGATTTTGAACCCAAAAATGAATGTTTCAGATGCAAATAATTATTGCACAAAGGGAAGAAATAGGTACCTTCTACATTATTGCAGAACAATAACATAAAGCACCTTCAATATGGAGTAGTTATTACATAAAAGGAAGATAAAAGTACCTTCAATATGAAAAATGGCTTTTTGTCCAAAACGCATCCTGTGCTCCTGCATGAAATTTATAATTAGGTTGACAAAAATTAAATAAAAATCTAGGCATCCCCACAAGAAGACACAAAAGAAAGATGTGGGATGTCTTATGTGAAGAAGGATTTGAAGCTGAATAGTTTCATTGAAGAAAATTTTGTTGAAGAGTGGAATACACATTTCATGATTGATCATGTGACTCATCCATTTCCATTCTATCCTCTAATATGGTGAATTTAAAGAATAAATTAGCAAAGTGTTGCTCAAACGCTACAATTTACCATCACTTACTATGAACATGCCTTGTCACCATCAATGTAGAATTAGTCTACTCTGAATGAGGCCTAACAAGTTTTCACTGAGATTGGTATGATTATTAAGGTGTAAACCTGATTTAGTCCTATTATGACTATGTTTTCACTTAAAGAATGCATGCCATTACCAAATCCAACAGATTTACCCTTTTTGACAAACATTATGATACTTTATAAGCATCCATTTAATTGTCGAAGTTCAAAAAAATTTAACGAGTTCTTTTTTTGTGCATAAAATTTAGAAGGCATCATTCCCAATCTAGAGGACACAGGTCAAATTCCTGGCTAACACCACCCCAAGGATCTGGACATTGAAATCTATTTATTAAAGCAACACATGCAGAGACTTAATGAACTGCCAAAGCCATGCAAACTGAAAGCTCAACTTGGGTCCAGAACATGTGTTATCACCTGGTAACCCTCTAAAACCTTGTGGTAAGCTCAGTATAGTCTTCTCTCTTTTTATTTAGGTTTAAATCAACCTCCCACCCGCGGTGCCTGCCCATTGTTCGTGATGCCTACCGCTACTGACCTGCCTAATAGCCCTCCAACTCCTCTTCCTCTTTTTCTCCTTCACCTCCACCTCCTTCGTTCCTCCTCCCTTTTGGTATCGTGGTGCATACCAACAGTGTGCGCTTTGGTTCAATGGAACGAACATGCCCGTACTAGTCTAGCCAACAATCGATTCAGATAGGGTACCCAATATTTAAAACCACCCCGAAAAGTGAGTAATTTAGGTAAAACATGATGGTATAAAAAG